AAAAAAAAAAAAAAAAAAGGAAAGAATGCTATAAATTTTTGTATGTCGATTTTGTATCCTGACACTTTACAATATTAATTTATCGCCTTTTAAAAAATTCTTTTGGATTTTATATGTATATAATCATCTCATCTGCAAATATAATTTTATTTCTTCTTTCCCAATTTGAATGCCTTTATATTCTTCTCTTGTCCAATTGCATTGGGTAGGACATCTAGTACTACATTGAAAAGGAGTGGAGATGGAACCAGCAGTTAGCGTAATGGCTATATCGCTGGACTCCCACGTAGTCGACCGTGGTTCGAGTCCCGGACCCGGTGGCTTAAACTCATGCCGGGCGCGTGTGCGTGCGTGCCCAAGATCCTGAGAGGAGAATGGAGGAGAAGGGATTGTGGCGTGACCATCCCCCCTGGGGGGTGATTTCTCGCTTTCTGTCTCTATGTCTCTCTCTGTCTGTCTGGTGAGCGCATGCGCTCTGTAGCGAAAACCTCTCAAGAAAAAAAAAAAAAAACGGGAAAAAATTATCTATCTAATTGTATTTATTCTGGAATCTGTTATAGAACACATAACAGTGAGAAAAACAGAGCAAGCGAGAGAGGCAAAGTAAGAAAGCAAGCCACTAGGTCCAGGACTTGGTCATGTAGCAGTCCAGCATCCTTAACCAGCATTCCACCTGCTGGCTCTGAGCTATGGATTTTTTGTATATTCATATATCGTGTTGAGAAATGTCCCTTCTATGCTGATTTTTCTGAGTCTTACCCATGAAGGGAAGTTGTATTTTATCAAATGCTTTTGCTGGATTGATTGATATGATCATATGGTTCTGTTAATATAGTATATTACATTTATGGTTTTGTGTAGGTTGAACCATCCTTGCATCTTTGGAATAAAGCCTCCCTGGTCATGGTGTATAATCTTTTTTAATGTGTCATTAGATATAATTTGCTATCTTGTTGAGAATATTTGCATCTATTATGCCATCTATTATTCAGAGACTATGGTTTTCTTTTTTTGTTACATTCTTGTCTGATTGGGGGACGAGGGTGATGGAGACTTCATAAAATGAATTTGGGAGAGTCTCCTTTTGGATCTTTAGAAATAATTTGAATAGAATAGGGGTTAATGCGTCTTTAAAAGTTTTGTAGAATTCAGAAGTAAAACCATTGGGACCTGGACTTTTCTTTGTTGGGAGGTTGTTATTACTGATTTAATCTAATTTCTTGTTATCAATCTAGTCAGGCTTTCTGTGTCTTTCTGATTCAGTCTTAGTAGATTATATGTGTCCATAAATTTGTCCATCTCATTAAGGTTTTCTTGTTTCTTGGTATAGAATTGCTCATAGTATTCTCTAATAACCTTTTGTATTTCTGTTATTACCTGTTCTAATCTTGCCTGTTTCATTGTGAATTTGATTTATTTGGTTCCTTTTTCCTTAGTCAAGTTAATGGTATATCAATTTTGTTTATCTTCCCAAAGAACCAGCTTTTGGTTTCATATCTTTTGGGTATAGTTAATTTATTCTCTATTTCTACTTGAATCTTTATTACTTTTTTCCTCCTGAAATTTTTTTTTCTTTTGCCATCATTTCTCTAGTTCCCTGAAGTGTGTTGTTAGGTTACCCGCTACCTTTCCATCTTATTCTCATGTGCACTAACTGTTATGAGCTTCCCTCTTAGGACTGCTTTCACTGTGTCTCATAGATTATGGAAACTCACGTATTTTGTTTTCATTGGTTTCAGTGAATCTTTTGATTTCATTCTTAATTTCTAACGTGGTTGTGAAGTTATCAGAAGTAGGTTGTTTAGTTTCCATATGTTTGTGTATTTTTGATTTTTTAAAAAATCAAAAATACACAAAATGTCAAATTCCATTATGGTTGGAGAATATGCCGGACATAATTTCTGTGTCTTTTAATTTGTAAAGGCTTGTTTTGTGTCCTATCATGTGGTCAGTCTTAGAAAAGGTTCAATGCAGGGGGCTGAGGATAATGTGTATTTTGTGGTTTTTTTTTTTGTGTGTGTGTGTGGCAAGTTCTATAGATATCTGTCAAATCTATTCAGTTTATGGTATCATTTAGACCCTGTATCTCTTTACTTATTTTTTTATCTAGCTGATCTCTGGAGAGATCTGTCTCTCCAATAGTGGAGTATTAAGATCCCCAACAATTAGTGTGTTGCAGTCTCTCTCTCCCTTAAGATCTAGCAGTCTTCGTGTATTTGAGTGCCTCCAAGTTGGGTGCATAGATGTTTATGTCTTTTATTATCTTCTTGGTGAATTAGTCCTTTTAGTGCTAGGTAATACCCTTCTTTGCCTCTTACAGTTTTTTTTCAAAAACTATTTTGTCTGATACCAGTATCATGATTCCAGACTTCTTTTGATTTCCACTTGCATGTAATAGCTTTTTCCGGCCTTTACTTTTAGTCTGTGTATGTCTTTATACATGAGGTATGTTTCTTGTAGGAAGCAAATAAAGTGTTTCTGTTTTTTTATTCATTCAGCCACTGTGTGTGTCTGCTGGAGAATTTAATCCATTAACATTCAGTGTTACCGATATTTGTGGATTTGTCCCTGCCATTTTGTTAGCTATTTTTCTTGGTTGTCTTCATTCTCTTATTTTTGTCGGTCTCTCTTCAGTTTTCCTGATATAGTATTCCCTTCATTACTTTTATTTTTTATTTATTTATTTTTGAGAGAGAGTTTTGCTATAGAGTGCATGTACTCACCAGAGAGGCAGAAAATAAGAAATCACTCCCCAGGGGCAATGGCCATATTGCAGTCCCTTCTCTTCCACTCAGGATTTTGGGCATGGATGCACACGTGACTGTGAGTTTCAAGCCACCAGATCTGGGACTTGAACCATGGTCAGTCATGTGGGAGTCCAGTGACATAACCATTACACCATCTGCTGGTCCCTTTTCAGTACTTTCTCTAGAGGTGGTCTAGTATTGGTGAATTATTTCAGTTTTTGTTTGTCAGAATAATTTTATTCATTCTTTCCACTTGAAGAATAATTTTGCCGGGTATAGTATTCTTGGTTGAAATTGTTTTTCCTTCAGTATTTTGAGTATATCTTTCTATTCTTCTTTTGCCTGCATTGTTTTGGTTGAGAGGTCTGATGTTAACCTAATAGGATAACCTTTATAAGTGACTTGATATTTCTCTCCTGCCATTTTTAGAATTTTGTCTTTGTGGTTTTTAACATTCTATGATGTGCCATAGAGAGGATCTTTAACATGGGGGCCAGTCTTCAAACATTCATGGAAAATGTGTATTTTGAAGGCTGTGGGTGTCAGTTTTATTTTTCTTTTGCACTGAAATAAACTTGCACTTCATTTCTAATTTTTCCATGATTTTTTTGACGTCCCCTCTAATAAGCCATGGTCCACTATTTCCCCACTTGACCCCACGTGTGTGTGTGATCCATTTTACCCAGCTGGGAGAAGCCGCATGAGCTTGAACATAGTAAGTGTATGCTGACTCTGATCTCCCTGAAACATAATTTGAATTTCACTTTAAAGGAAGTTCTCCTGTGTGTGTGTGTGTGTGTGTGTGTGTGTGTGTGTGTGTGTTTCCAAACAGCTGCACCAAAGCTATCAACAAAAGAACAAAGTGATTTAGCTCCAAGAATACTCACTCCAATTACCCATAATAATTCATAGGAGACATTTTTAAGTTTTAAAAAATGCTAGATCTAGACATTTCTTTTTCAGTAAGTTTTTCCACTTATCTATTATATCTGTTTTTCTGCAGAGAGATGTGAGCTCAAAGAAGTGTAAATTAAAGTCAGAGAAAGGCATGGCGGGGAAGAATCTCACCCGAATGTGGTATTCTGAGGTGTCATTGCTGTATTGGGGATGAAAGGAAACTGGGGACACAGTTTTGGGCTTACAGGAGGCTACTCCTGTGGGTCTCCCTTTGGGCCACAGTCCTTTCTTTCCCTTTCCTTTCTCTGAAGCATTCTGTTTATTTATTTATTTATTTTAATTATTTCAGTTTTTTGCTATAAGGTATGTGCACTCGCCGGGAAGGTGGTTGGGGATAGGGAAAAAGTGAGAAATCACTCTTCAGGGGGATGGCTATGCTACAATCCTCTCTCCACTCTCTCCTTGGGATTTTGAGCTTGCATGCCTACACACTGAGCATGATTTTTCAAGCTGCCAGTTCCAAGACTTGAACCATACAGCCGGCCATGTGGGATCCAGCACCGTAACCTCCAAGCCACCTGTGGATCCACAGGTCTTTTTGGTAGTATCTCAAAAGAAAAAGGCATTGTTGGAAATATCTTTATTTCTAAGAGTAAAAAGACACATCACATCTTCCTGCTTCCTTACTACCTACCATAGTTACCCATCTCTCCCCTTCTGCAGAAAGGAAATTCCCAGGAAGTTAAGAGGGCTGGCATTTCCCATTGATTTCCCACCCAAGTCCATAGTGGAGCAAGACCAGTCTTCCCACTCAGGCGGACAGTGAGGGGTATGAGTCCCCCACACTCACCACAGGGAGGAGATGCTGGCTTTGCATGGCTGACAGAGAGGAAAGCTGGCATGTGGGAGGAAGCCAGTTTTCTCCTCATGTCTTCTTTCCATGTGTTTTCTGTTCTGTGTGAAAGCAGACGTTTCTGGTTGCCAGTCTTGGCAGGAAAAGCCGGATTCCATTGGCACTTGCCAGGCACGCCAGAACTGATTGAGACTGTATCCATTCTGATTTTTTCAAATCATACAGCTTATAGCTGTAAGTTTCTGTTAGCTTTAGATATGCGTGTGTGTGTGTTTTCCTGGTAATATGCACACACCATATCTTTGCCATTTTACACACTTCAGTGGGATTATGTCTATCACCATATTGAGCAGCTGTCACTATCATCTATTTCCAGAATGTTTTCCTCATCTCCAGCGGAAAATCTGTGCCGATTAAATGTTAATTCCTCCTTCTCCCTTTCCCCAGGTAATCTCTCTTCTACTTTCTGTCTCTATGATATATGTGTTTTGTTTTTAATTTAGCAGGGTGTACGTTTCCATTCCAAATACTTCACGGAAGAGCTAAGAAGAATTTTTATAGAGGATACTGACTCAGAAACTGAAGATTTTGAAGGATTTACACAAAGTGAGCTGAATAGTCACCCGGAAGTAATGGTAATAATTATCAACATGGAGATGTGGGTTGTAGTATTTTTCAGTCCTGTATCTGAATCGTAGTTTCACTTGTAAGAAGTCACTGTACAAATGAAAAGATTTTACTTATTCTTATATGTTTATCTTATGGATGAATTAATATTAAAATTGCCATTCTAGGGCTAATCCTTGATTCACCAGTCCATTCTCCTAGAGAAAATCCAGTGGTCTTACCTTGGTCTTTCTTGAACCTCTTTTATCTTTTATCTTAAAGTCCTTTCTTGTGTGAGAAATAATATTAGGTTTGAAGTTAATTTGGCAAAAATGTAGCATGGTACAAACTTGGAGTTTTCCAGTGTGTTCTGTTTTTCTTCTCTGTTATATGCATTTGCCAGAGAAGAAAAGTGAGACATCTCCCCTCAGCGGAGGGAAGGGGGATTACTATGCCTCATTCTCTTCTCGGGATTTGGGGCATACATGCACATGCACCTGGCATGTTTTTCAAGCTGCCAGGTCCGGAATTTGAACTGCACAACCAGCCATGTGGGACCCAATGCTTTAACCACCATGCCACCTCATGGTCCCATCACTGCATTTTTTTTTTTTTTTCATTTTCTTTTTCAGAGAGGTTTTTGCTGTAGGGCACGTGAGCTCACCAGAAAGACAGAGAGAGACAGAGAGACAGAAAGCAAGAAATCACCCTCCTGGGTGGGTGGCCATGCTTCAGTCCCTTCTACATTCTCATTTCGAATCTTGGACATACACACGCATTTGGCATGATTTTAAACCACCAGGTCCGGGACTCGAACTGCGGTCGACTACATGGGAGTTCAGCAACATAACCATTATGCCAACTGCTGGTCCCCATCAGTGCATTCTTGATTTGGATGCTAAGTGCTTGTTAAAGATAACCTAGCCCTGCCTGAATTCTCAAGGGAAGTCTGAAGAGACTTGTTGGTTGATCTCTTCTCTGTGTTTAGGCTAGTTGACTGCCCACTGGTATTCAAACTTTAAGGTCTATCTTGGCTCTTTAGATTGTTTTAAGTGCAAAAATGTTTTCTACCAATTGAAAAAATAGCATATCTAGAAAATGAACATAAGCCTCTTCATAGTCAGAAGCTCCTCAGGAACAGCTTTTGGCATGGAACCTGTGTGGAAGGCTAATTGAGCTGTGAATACTAGGTTTTGTCCTTCATCTTCCTGAGGGAGAACTTGGGGCATGGAAGCCCTAATGAGTAAGCTGGCTTTTGGATGGTGATTTTTTTCCATGAATAGCAATACAGAGCCCTGGCAGCCTGCAGGTCCCACCCTCCTTTGGCTTTCTCTGCAGAAGCTGTTCATGTGGCAGTTCATGGGTTTTGGCCAACAAGTCCCCAGTTTCTTGCCAGTAAGACTCAAAGAGCCTTCCAAACCCTAATGGGTATCTTGGTGAAAGAAGATAAGATAATTAAGTCAGTAAGTGATATACCTAGTTATTCCAAGAGTTTGCATGTCTCATGAGGGAAAGTAAATTATCCCAAGTCTTTTTTTTCTCTTCCCTTAGGTCTGCACATTTAGGGTACAATGACATGTGAAATAGCCAATGATGTAACTCATAGCCCAGGGAAGATCCATCTGCAAATGCAATTTTAGCATTCGGTGAGATGTCTGCAAGCATTGCTGACTCCTCACCCGACCTCCTGCTCACTCTTATGGGAACAGATGGGACCACCTTTCTGGTTAATGGCATGTTGCCGTAATCTGGACCTTTGGTCCTCTGCTGGTCAGATGTGAAGCAACCAGAACCATAGTGCTGGCCTTGTGGGCTTTTCCTCAGATCCGATTCTGGACTTGCTGTGACAGTTTGCTCTTTACCTAGTCTTCTCCTTTGTAGTGAGCTATTCCACATCCTTGGTGAAGAGAGGTGGGTGGATGGTGAATGTGATAACTAAACAGAGCACATCTGAAGTTCTTCTCTGACTGCATCTTCTGAAATTGGACTCCTTTACCTTCTACTGTTGAGGATTTTGAAGCTACTAATGTGGATAGTTCAGCGTATTAAAGTAGTAGGATGGTGCAAAAGCAATTGTGGTTTCAAACTGTGAATTTTAAATCCTTTTAATTAGGCTAAACACATCTTTATTAATCAAAATGGGAATTGCTACAGTCAACACATTTTTGCCAACAAGAAATAAGTTTGCTTATTCCTGTAGCATAAAAATCCTTCCTTTAGGATTTGACAAGTTCTTGGAAAGCATTTTCTGCATCTTTCTGTTTGTGGAAGCATTTTCTCTGCAAAAACTTGTTTCAGATGCTTGAAGAAGTACTAGTTGGTTGGCAAGAAGCCAGGTGAATATGGCAGATAAGGCAAAACTTTGTAACTCTGATTTGTTCAGTTTTTTTTTTTTTTAATTAAAGTTTTTGCCATAGGGCACATGTACTTGCCGGAGAGATATAGGGACAGAGAGAGAGTGAGAAATCACCACTCCATTGTGGCCATGCCGCATTCCCTTCTCCATTCTCTTCTTGGGTGTTTGGGCATACACACATACACCTGATGTAATCTCTTCAAGCCTTCAGGTTCTGGACTTTAAATGCAATCAGTCCTGTGGAGTCTGGCACCTTAAACACTGTCGCCTGCTGGCTACTCATTCAGTTTTTGAAGCATCAGTTGTTCAACCTGCAGTCGGACATTATGAAGAATTGGGGACCAGCAGTTAGCGTAATGGCTGTGTTCGCTGGACTCCCATGTAGTCAACCGCAGTTCATGTCTGGACCTGGTGGCTTGAACTCAACTCTGGGCACATGTGCGTTCGAGCCCAAGATCCCGAGAGGAGAATGGAGGAGAAGGGATTGCAGTGTGGCCATCCCCACTGGAGGGTGATTTCTCTCTTTCTGTCCCTCTGTCTCTCTCTGTCTTTCTGGTGAGTGCATGCGCCCTATAGCAAAAACCCTCTCAAAAAAAAAAAAGAAAAAAAAAAGAAAAAGAAAAAAAGAATTGGGCCCTTTTTATGGATGCTGGCTGCAGGTGTTACAGTTTTTGGTGAGTCTTGTTAGTCTACTGAGCACACTTCCCAGATGTAATGGTTTCTCTAGGTTTCAGAAAGCCATGGTGGATGAGAGCCCACCAAACCATGACCATGACATTTTTTTGGTGCAAGTTTGGCTTTGGGAAGTGCTTTGAAGCATCTTGGTCCAGCCACTGAGCTGATCATCGTCAGTTGTAGAAAATCCAGTTTTCATAGCACATCACAATCTGATCAAGTAGGCTCATTGTTGCACAGAAGAAGAGAAGACTACACTTCATAATAAAACAGTTTTTTTTTTTTTTTTTTTGGTCAGCTCATGAGGTGCCCACTTAACCAAGCTTTTTCACCTTTCCAATTTGGTTAAAATGCTGAACAGCTTTAAAGTGGTCAACACTGAGTTCTTCAGCAACTTTTCGTGTAGTTGTAAGAGGATCAGCTTCCATGATTGCTCTCAGTTGGTCGTTGGCAACTTCTGATGGGCGGCCATTATGTTCCTTATCTTCAAGGCTCTCGTGACCTTTGTCAGACTTCTTGAACCACCACTGCACTGTACGTTCGTTAGCAGTTCCTGGACCAATGTGGAATTGATGTTGCAGGTTGTCTCCACTACTTGATGACCCATTTTAAGCTCAAATGAAAATTGCCTGAATTTGCCTTTTGTCCAACATCATTTTAATACATCTAAAATAAACAGCAAGCCTAAAGTGAGAATGATGTTTAACATAACCACATTTATTTAAAAACATATCTTTATCAAACAGCAGATTTCACTGCAAAACCACAGTTACTTTTGCCCTAACCAAATAGATAAATCGGCCTGCTCTGCAGTGCAGCAGTGTGCACAGAAAGCTGGGTCCCACCCTGCCAGCTGTGGTTCAGGTCCTGGCCCTGGTGACTTGAAAAACATGCCAGGTAAATTTGTGTGCGTACGTGTGCAAAATCCTGATGAAAGACAGAGCTGGAGGAAAAGAGATGGCAGGTTACCACACCCCACTGGGGGGGGGGTGGGTTCTCTTTTCTCTTCCTGCAGGTGGGCACATGTGCCTCTGGTAATTACAAATAAAAAGGAAAAAATATAAATCGGTGCTGTATAGTCTTACTTTTCTAGTTGGCTCTGGCATGGATTAATGGACCAGAGTTTGGCAGGCTTCTGCATTTTTTTTTCTTCTTCCTCTGTCTTATTTCTAACTTTAGACTGACAAAAATTGGGAGTCGGGACCAGCAGATGGCATAATGGTTACGTCACTGGACTCCCACATGGTTGACTGTGGTTCAGTTCCCAGACCTGGTGACTTAAAACTCATGCTAGGCGTATGTGCGTGCGTGCCCCAAATCCTGAGAGGAGAATGGAGCAGAAGGAATTGTGGCATTGGCCATTCCCCCTGGGGGGTGATTTCTCACTTTCTCTCTCTCTGTCTCTCTGGCGAGTGCACATGCCCTATAGCAAAAAAATCTCTTAAAAATTGGGAAAGGGGGTTACTGAGGAAGAAGCCATCATTGACTGAGACCTGAGTTTTCTGGGTGCTGTGAAGTGTTCTCATGGTAGCCCCATCTCAGGATTGTCTGGTAGTAGGTTCCAGGCTTCTAGCTATAGTCCAGGAAGGATGCCTTGAAAATGTGTTTAAACCTCTTTCTGGACTATTGCATCTTAGATGCGGAGAATCCCTTTGCCACTAAGCTTTCAGCACACAGTCACCTGGGTGTCAACTCTTGTTGCCCTTGCTGTATTCTCACTAGTAAAACCAAGTGATATTTAATGCTGCCTGCTCCTTGGGCACTTCACCAAGATCAGCTCTCCTGCCCTTCTGCTCATGAGTTCTGTTTCTCCTAGTTCAGATATGTTTTTTCTTAACTCAGTTTTTTATCTGAAGGTAACTGTTGTGTCATGTATACCCTGTTCTTTGAGTGGTCCTCATGTTACTTGGCTTGCAGATGTGCCAGCATGGGGGCTGCCTTGTGGAGGCGCTGTACTTTGTCAGTATTGCACTTGCACCTTGATGCTCTGAAAGGAGCCTTGTTCTGTTGTGGGTGAGGCTGGTGCACTGCTTAGTGGATCTGCCTGCTCTTTGATTTAATCAAACTCCTTATCCATTTAACTGAAGAATTTCAGAGGGAACAATGATAGGGGGTAATTTTTTCTCTAGCATTTTCTGAAACAATGCCAGAGTCTTGTTAAAAGCAAGTCTGTTACAAACAATATCTTTGTTCTTTTTCTTTTATTTTCTTAGCTCGTGGAATCAGATTTGAGTGACGACAGCAAAGCATCTCTGGTGAGTGAGGAAGAGGAAGATGAAGAAGATGCTCTGTCTAGAAGAAGCAGGTCTAGCCGAAGCAGTCTTGGCCTTCGAGTAGCCTTTCAATTCCCCACCAAGAAATCAGCAAAGCAATCAAATAAAAACAGTTCTTCTGAGCCATTGTTCTCTAGCTCCCACTTACAGGACAGTCAAAAAGCAATTCTTGGAAGAAAGAAAAGCCGTCGACAGGCAGAGGAGAGGGAAGAGTCTGTCTCTGAGTCTGAGGATGACTCCAGAGATGACAGCCAGGAGGGTTCAGACGCCCTGCTGAAGAGGAACATGAACATCAAGGAGAACAAAGCCATGGTAAGGCTTCCTGGCAGGGGGTGGGTGCTGGCCCCGGCCGCGGCCCCCCGAGTGTGCTCTGGGAGTTGGTATTGCTGCCGGCAGTGGCTGAGGCTCGAGACCTTCCTGGCCCTGTAGCTGCTGCAGCTGCTTTGGCTTCTCTCAGGAAAATGTGCTCTGGGTTTTGTGTATCCTTTTTCTTTCTCAGAACCCAAAGCAGTTACTACTTGAGCTGCTCTGGTTTGGGAACGGAAAGACTCCCAGGATGGTTGTCAGCCTCCCACATGGTGCCATAAACTGAAAAGCTGCTTACTGTTGATCAAGTTAACCTCGAAGTACATAGTGGTACTGGGGATGAGAAGGGCTGAACAAGCGGCTTTCCCTAACAGAAAGGAGCAAAGAGGAAATAGGACTGTCACGCAGTCCTCTGAGTGTAGCACTGTGCAGGGCAGGCGTGTGGGTCATCACCTAGATGCCCCTCTCCTGTGGTGACCAGTTGTGGTTTTGAGACATCATCTGAGGCTAAAACATCCTCATCAGTTTCAGCTCACTTTAAAATGCTTCAGTAGAACAATGAATGAAGTAAGGTGAAATCTTTGTTAAGTATGTTTGTTTTTTCTATTTGTGGTTGGAAACAGGCAACCGGGTCATTGTTGAGCATCATCATTTGCTTCCTAATTTTTTATGTACACAATTTTTAAAGTAATTTCACTGTTCATAGTCACTTTTAGCACTTTGGTATATTGTTAAAAGTTTTTTTTTTTAATTAAATATAATGTAGTAATATTGCATGTGTAATTGTAATCTTTAGGTCTAATAAGTTACCTAAGAAAAATCACCTACTTTGGGGTTATTTTTATTTTAAGATGCTTAGCTAAGGGAATTTTTGGTCCTATACCCACTTGCATTTTTTATTTAGCTTATTTATTCCTTCCATGAATATGAGAGAAAGAGCACCCCCAGCAGGGTCTTGATGCTGTAAACCACCCCAGTTTTGCACTCATCCTCAGATCTAGGGGCAGGGAGCTCTGGGTGTAAGAGAAACCTTCCCACGTGGTATTGGGTCACAGAGGGTCACCTGTTACTGCTGCACCACAGGGTGTGTGCATTCATTGGAAAGAGACAGAGACGGGAGGGGGAAAGTAAGAAATCACCTCCTAGGGGAATAGCTGTGCCACAATCCCTTCTCCTCCGTTTGCTCCTGGGATTTTGGGCAGGCACAGGTGCGCACACGCACCCAGCATGATTTTCAAACCACTGGATCTGGGGCTCAAATCGCAGTCAGCCCTGTGGGAGTCTGGCACCTTAAGCACCACGCCACCTGTTCTCCCATCTGAGTCTTTTAAATAAGAACTATGTTCTCCATGATTTTTCAGTGATGTTCATACATTTTTATAAGTTTCAAGCTAAAAACAATCCTCAGCAATTCTCTGGTTGATGTATTAATTTCTCTTACTAGTAACTAGGTGTTCATTTGGGAATAGCTTCAAAAATTATTTTTATTGAAGAGAAATGAGCCTATTTGGAGTTCTAAGTAACTATCAGAGTAATCTGGGTGAGCCTTTTCTTTCTCAGGTTTTCTAAAATTTGAGATTCAGGTGTGCCAACTGATTTGGCCCAGGGTCACGCTGCTAATAGTGTCCCAGTCATGATTCAAACCCCATGTTCTAGGCTTTGATTGTTCTAGGATGATTTTCATCATTTTATATCATCCTTGTCTATAAGGCGTGGGCATAAAAGTCATTCATAGAAGTGACGACATTCACATCTCACCTCTGGAGATCAGGTCTTCACATGTGAGGCTGAGATACATAAATCCCTGCGGTTGGGTTTCCTATGGTAACAAGACCAAAGACTTGTGATAGAGGTTGGATGACTTAGCCCTGGCAGTATTTATGTAAGATTGTTTCTTTTGTTCCGAACTTCAGCTTGCCCAGTTATTGGCAGAATTAAACTCCGTGCCAGATTTCTTCCCAGTACGAACCCCGACCTCAGCTTCTGTAAGTAGAATTCCGCATCATTATTTATATCAATCCGATACTGAGAAGTCAGCCACCAGGTAGCTTTTATTGAAGAGAACACCTGGTTGCAGATGTCTGTGTTCTCAATTGCAGAAGAAGAAAACCGCGAGGCGGGCCTTCTCAGAGGGACAGATCACACGGCGCATGAACCCCACCCGCAGTGCGCGGCCTCCTGAGAAGTTCGCCTTGGAGAGCTTCACTTTCTCGGCTGCCAAGTTTGCAGAAGAGTTTTACAGTTTCAGAAGAAGGAAGACAATTAGTGGGGTATTTTCTGATAATACATTATTATTAGTCTAAGCCAGCGGTCCTCAGATGTGAGTGTGCATCATGTCACACCAGGGCTGGGTAAAAAGGCAGATTTCTGACCCGGGACTCTGAGGTCCCTTAGGACTTGCTGCTTTTCTGCCAGTGTAAGGGGTGATGTCCATACTCCAGGGCAAGAACGCCTGGTCTAAACTGTAGATCACAGAGAAATTTTTTTTAAAGAGAGATTTATGCTATAGGGTGTGTGTGCTCGCCAGAGAGACAGCGAGAAATCACACACACACACACACACACACACACACCTGGGGTGGGGGGGATGGCCATGCCATAGCCCCTTCTCCATTCTCCTCTCTGGATTTTGGGCATGCAGGCACATGCACCCCATGTGAGTTTAAGCCACCCGGCCTGGGATTCGGACTGTGATCAACCACATGGGAGTCCAGCGGCGTAACCATTATGCTATGTGCTAGTCCTCACAAAGAATCTTTTAAGCTGAGCTGAGAGCAGCTCATGGATTTGAGCCCAGCCCAATCCACAGTGGAGGCTGTAAAGGCCCACTCAGGGTTCTAGTCATCCCCATGGACTTGCATGTGGGAAAGCGCAATGACACATCTGGGTTTTCCGTGTTCATAATGGTGCCTTTCAGGTGCCTCCAGTCTGAAGGGAGTAACTTTAGACACTTCCCATTTGCTGGCTTGGCTGTTCTGTGTGGTTTACCTCTCCATCCCTACATGTTGGCAGTAGAAAACCAAACACCTGAGTCTCTCATTTGCTGTTGTATTGCCTCGCCAAGAGGGAAGCTTGGCATCTGGCAGGAACTAAAACATGACTGCTTGAATGAACGGCCCCAGAGAAATGGAAGAGGGACATGGTTTACATTCATGCTGTTAGACCTCTCTGAGTTTAAGGCTTTTATCTTATTCCAGGTTCTGCTTTTTTTGGTTTTGCAGGGGAAATGCCAGGGTTACAAACGACGTCACCGTATATCTTCTTTTCGGCCAGTGGAAGATATCACTGAAGAGGATTTAGAGAACATTGCCATCACTGTTCGAGATAAAATCTATGATAAAGTTCTGGTAAATGACATATTACAAATAAAATGCTCAGTTGTGATTCTTCGCAGGAGTCCAGGGCACTGGTACTTGAGTTCCTACACTATTTTTAAGTGGCCCCAGAGTGTATGCCCTTGTTCTGTTTCCTTGAGGTCTCAGAGCAGGCTCTAAATTGGCAGGTCGAGGGTCAGCTACAATGGGAAAGTGAAAACAGCTCAGTATGCAAATTCTCATCTGAAGACAGGGCTTTCTGGGGAAATGCATATAATGCGGGAGAAGGCAGAGGTACGGTTTAAAAAAACATTTATATGCAATGTTTTATTTTAAATAAAAATAGCTTTATGTTTTCAACATTTAAAAATAAGTATTTTGGAAAGTAATATGACCCTAGAAGGTAGAGTTTGATGCATTGCTTGATAGGGCATGGGTGGACATTTCTTTTAAATAGCGACTTAGAGGGAGGCTTTGTGTTGTTTCTCATATTTTATGTCATAGGATGCTGTCTTAAGATAGCATTACAGAGACCAGCAGTTGGCGTAATGGCTATGTAGTTGACCATGGTTTGAGTCCTGAAACTGGCGGCTTAAACTCATGCTAGGCGCCTGTGAGTGTGTGCCCGAGACCCCGAGAGGAGAATGGAGGAGAAGGGATTGCGGCATGGCCATCCCCTCTGGGGGGTGATTTCTCCCTTTCTGTCTCTGTCTCTGTCTCTCTCTATCTTTTTCGGCGAGTGCATGCTCCTTATAGCAAAAACATCCCCCCCCCCCAAAAAAAATGATAGCATTGCAGTGTTTTTAATTTAATTGCCAATATTTAAAACTAGGGGGTTTTACTCTGAAACTATCTAAGTATCTGCATAATACTGGTGCTGAATGGATGCCATGGGGCTTATCACTGGCTAGTCATCTGTCACCTCTTGGGGGCTCTGCCAACCCTGCCTCAAGCTTCCCTCTGGTCTCTTCTTGTCTACCTGATTTCATTCCCTCGGGGCCCTCTGCTCAGCCTCATATGAGGGGGCCATGGTTGGTACTAGGGAACAGTCCACACCACTTATAGAGGCAGGCAGTGCTTCCTCATGCACTTAGGACTGTACGTGACATGGCCCCAGGCATCGGCATAAAGCCCTATGGTCACAGCTCCCCACCTTCACCCCTAGGGTAACACGTGCCATCAATGTCGTCAGAAGACCATCGACACCAAGACGGTGTGCCGGAACCGGAGCTGCGGCGGAGTGCGAGGGCAGTTCTGTGGGCCATGCCTGCGGAATCGCTATGGGGAGGATGTGCGATCGGCATTGCTAGACCCGGTAGGAGCAGTGTCTACACTTCTTATAAAACATGGTGGAGAGACTGACGGATGCAGACACCTCACCACCTTTCTTTCCTCCTGCATCTTAATATCTGGAGAAAAATGAAAAATGAGTGCTTCTTCTGTACAAGGAGAGCAAGCTGACTGGTGGATGGGGTTGGAGGAGTTTGTGTTGGGTTTTCCAGTGTCAGAGCCAGACTTTTTTATGGTTGTCTGTCTTTGTCCAAGTTAACCTTTGCTTTTCCTCCAACAAAGTGACTTCCCCGTGGTTTTGTTGGGCCAGGTAGAGGGTGGGTATGTTGTGTAGTGTGTGCTTTCTATGTTCCTGGCACAAAGGATCTCTTGCCTCTATTAAGGCAGTTCTTTTCAGTTCTCTCAGTTACTCATTGAACCTTAAGGAGTAGGTATGTCACCTCTCTGTGCCTCGGTTCCCTCTGTAAAGTGACGGAAGCTTGGTTCTGCTCTAGAGTCTGTCCTAATCACTTCATGGTATGGCCTCTCACACAACAGTCATAGGCAAATGTGCCGTCCCCAGTCTACAGACTGGCAAAAACTAGTACCCTGGTTAAGTAGTTTGATAAGTACACATACTGGAAGAGTTAGAATTCATAAATTTTGATCATGTAGAATCTATATGCTTCAGGACCAGCAGTTGGCATAATGGCTATGTTGCTAGACTCCCATGTAGTGGACTGTGGTTCGAGTCCTGGACCCAGTGGCTTGAAACTCACGCTGGGTGCGTGTGCATGTATGCCTCAGATCCTGAGAAGAGAATGGAGGAGAAGGGGTTGTGGTGTGGTCATCCTCCTGGGGGTGGTGATTTCTCACTTTCTGTCTCTCTGTCTTTCTGGTGAGCTCATGTGTCCTATAGCAAAAACTTCTCAAAAAAAAAAAAAAATCCATGTGCTCCTAAAACTGGGGCCAGTTTCATGGGCATGTGACCTGTGCAGTCACATAGGAACCTAAACTAGGCTTCATGCTCCTGACATTCTCCATAATTTTTGAACCAAACCCTGCTAATTATATAGCTGTTCTCATTTGGAACTGACATTTTTCCTTGTTCCTCCATATGTAGCCTGAGGTTGTCAGCCTTTCTGGGCCTCTGTGAAACATGAAAAAGGAAGTGATGCCCTGGGTAATTCTTTATACCTTGTGACATAGCTAGAGGATACTGTTATGGTTTGGATAATGGCTTGTCTCTTGCCCTCAACGTTTTATGCTTGGGAATTTAGGTGGTGAGTGGGTGGCCCCCAGAAATTCATGTCTTGGGAATCGATTATATTTGTAAAGGTGTTAAGTGAAACCTTAGTTCCCTTGTGGCATCCCAAGAGGGGGTAGGGGGTATGATGCGGTCATTAGGTGGGCCTAGTGATTCTGGCATGTATATAAGGAGAGCAGATGAGACTGGCACGGGACAGGGATATAGACGGTGCTCTGCTCTGAGTTCTGCATTTTGCTACTTAATAATGCCGCTGGACTTATCAATCACCAGAACCACGAGTCACAACAAACCTTTATGCTTTTACATTCACCTGGTGTCAGGTATTTCTGTTAGCCGTGCAAAAAAAGAACTAAGACACATCCAATGTGATTAAAGATTGGATAGGCCAGGCTGAGCCAGGCTTGATCAGAAATCCACGTTTACCAGAGCCTAGAGATTATAGGGAAAACTTCTGTTATCCTCTCTCGTAGGATTGGATATGTCCTCCCTGCCGTGGGATCTGCAATTGTAGTTATTGTCGGAAGCGTGACGGCCGCTGTGCCACGGGGATCCTCATTCATCTGGCCAAGTTTTATGGTTATAATAACGTTAAGGAATACCTGGAGGGGTAAGTCTCTGGCATTCAAAAATGGAGCTGGTAATTCCTGGGTCCAGCCTAGGAGACCTTCTAGACAGGTAGCTGTTATTTCATGGCTGATTCATGTTAAACCACCTTGCGTGCCGTCCATTCCATTTGCATTGGAAAAGCTCAGGCCTCATAGTTCCCCTACTAGGAGATTCTCTCCTTTGCCAGAACTTTCAGCACCATAGTGCCTCTAACCCAATTTCCCCTTGCAGTGTCAAAAAGTGGAAAGGATAGACAAAGGAGGCTGAGAAGGAATGCAGACTGTGAAGAGGCAGGCATATCCCTAGTGAGCAGAGAGGAGTGTCCAGGTGACAGTCATTTGAGGATACAGCATTGTGGGCCACAAGTTTCATTTATGTAATAAACTCTGAAACGTGTTACGATGTCACCCTCGGGCCTCCTGTACACAGGACTACTGTTACTTGAAGCCTAGGAGGCAGGATTTTGATTGTCAGGAGAGCCAGGTGCTGCCTTTGCACATTTGGGGGATGTTGAAGGAGCCTGGAATGCTCTACCGTGTGAATGCTCTCATGTGTTTGCCTCTCCCCAGTAACAACTTCTCAAACACTTCTCTTTTCCGCAGCTTACAAAAGCAGCTGGTTGAAGACAACTAAGGAAAAAGAACCAGCCAGCCTCCAACAAGACATGCATACCATGTGTGCCTAAGATTTCTTAAGGTTGACTTTTTATGCAGAAATTCTTTGTAACAGAGTTTATTGCTTCTAAATACTATTTTTAAAAAGATTGTTTACATGCTTATAAAGATCTCTCAGGAAGCCAGCAAAGCAGAGGAATCTGTGTACATGTATCCACAAGATCTGTTTGTATAGAATTGTTAAAAGGATCTGAAAAAGCACAAGTGAAATGGGGTGGTGGTACCTGATGTTCAGGTAAGTTACAGAAAAGATACTGAATACGAAGCTCTTGCCTTTACCCATGATTAATCATCTGCATTGCCTTGACCTTTTACTTTCCAAACACTAACTCTAGGCCCAGTGGTTTCTGACAGAGGTTTTATGTCCCTGTAGTTCACCTGAGCATGAGTGACCACAGTTCAGACCCCACAGAGTTTAACTTGCTCTGGGTCATTGCAAATGTATGTTGATGAATGTTCCCCTCAGTCACAAAGTGCAATTAACCATAGAACTTGTGAAGTAGTTTTGTTTTTATTAAAACTTGACTGAACAAAAGTGGACCATCATGTTACAAACACTGGAGGCGTCAGAGCCTGCCTTTTCCTTCAGGACGCACCTGCTGCTTCCATTTTGAAAGAATATAAGGGCTAAATTTTTTATTTAAAATTTTTTTCTGTTATCTATAAGAACTTTTAAACTCCCTTTCTTCTCAGCTGTATCGTTTTTGAGGGTATGTGTAGATTCAGTTGAGACCTTGGTGAAAATGTGAGATACACTGTACTTTTCTGTGTTGAGGGATGAGGGCTAAAAAGCGGTAATCAATGAACATAGGTTCAGAATAGGTTTTCTGTATTTTTTCCTACCTTTCTCTTCCTTATTCCACTTTTTAAGGATAGCATTTAAGAAGAAAATATACACGTAAGTTACTAGAAAGCTGTATAAGCTGGAATGTTTTATGCCTACAGTAGAACACATGAATGCAAGAACAGCACACTGAAATGAAAACCCTGCACTGTGCTACGGCTGGAGAAGCAGAAGTCCCAGCACCAGGGTCCCCTTAGGCTTCTAGCAACAGAGCCACACCTGCCAGGACCCACTTTGCGGTCTTCTCCTTACTTCTGAGCCTGAAGGTCCAAATGTAGTGGGGGCCCCTCTTTTTGGTTCTGTATACAGGGCACTCGTAGGTGTGCTTGGTTTCTTGTCTGTCCATGGGAATGGCTTTTACAAAGATGACTGGCATCACAGATGTGAGCTCCTTGAGGCGGGCCTCAACGATGCTTCCTGACTGTGTGTCCCATCTGGCACCTATGGCAGAAACAAAGGTTACAGGTGTGTGCACGTTGGTGCTGATTATCTAACTGTTGGATGCAATAAACCTTCCGGTTTTGTCACATTTTTGCTTGTCTGTGGTATCTGTGCCAAGCTGGCCTGAGACCTGAGGAGAATGTCAACCCACCTGCCGCTACTGCTTACAGGTACTGCTAAGCTCAGGTAATCGCTTTCACACTTAACAGCTCAATTTCCCTGGGGAAGTAAACTAATTTTACTAATTAAATCCTCTATGAATTCAGCCACATTAAAGTAAACTAGTATGCCCTTTTGTCCAAAACAAGTATAAGAAATCTGCAGTTCACTCCAGAACATTCACTCCAGAACATTTTATTTTCATAGACTAAGTCTGGGTTGTTCACAGCCTTGGTGGCACTTGGTTTAGGTGAAAAAGGAGCATGTCAGTAGGGAGCAGATTCCCTGTGGAAGAAATGCATGGTCATATGTAGTTGGAAGACATTGTCTACCATACTCCCTTTGAGAGATTCACAGTGTACAAGGGCATCTTCAAAACTTGAGAAGTCTTGGGACCAGCAGTTAGCGTAATGGCTATGTCGCTGGACTCCCACGTAGTCGACCGCGGTTCGTGTTCCGGACCCAGTGGCTTAAAACTCACGCTGGGTGCTTGTGCGTGCCCAAGATCCCGAGAGGAGAACGGAGGAGAAGGGATTGCAGTGTGGCCATCCCCCAGGGGGTGATTTCTCGCTTTCTGTCTCTGTCTGGCTGGCGAGCGCACACGCCCTATAGCAAAAACCTCTCCAAAAAAAAAAAATTGAGAAGTCTTGTTCTGAGTTTACTGACAATTTTTAAATAGCAGATTTATAATAAATATAAACGTAGTGTCAGTCTTAAGGTATCCTGTGGCATTAGCACCAGATAGAAGTGTAAAATCTTGAGTTATAGTTATCACCCCAAATACCTCAACATCTGACTCACATTGGACATATGCCCTGGCATGTAAACTGTTAGAAAGGAGAAAATGAGAGAGATAACCACTAGCATAAGGTTATTTACCCTATGTGTAGATGCTGAAAAGCAGAACAAAGGACAGATACCAACCTGAAGTTGAGTTCAAGGGAGTCTTACCTTCCAGGAGGAGCCCATGGAGGTATGCCCCTTCCCTGGGGGGGTGGCCATAATCTTCCTTTGTTTTCTTGGTAACATCAACAGTCAAGCACATTTTATCCAGGGGCCACTCATTTTTTCGAGCCATGGTCTGCATGATTGCTTTGAGAGGAGAAGGAATAGGAATTGGCGCAGGATGAAAACGTGTTATCTTGTTTCCAGAGACCTTAGTAAACTGAGTCATTCTTTATCCATCAGAGGGTGTGCATGTTCTCAGGCATTTGCATGTGCCCGCAGTAGGGCAGGGACCTTCAGGACAACCTCACTTTTTTTGTAAAGATTTACTGGAGGGACCTGGTGGTGGCACGGTGGTAAAATGCACCATGCTGTGAGGCTGACCCCTATGGGAAGGTTTCAGTTCACATCTGGAGCCCTCTAGGCATGCACGTGCCATGATCCAGGACTGTCTGAGGCTTGGGGTTAAGGCCACATCAGGACCCTATTAAAAGCAATAAAATTTAAAAAAAAAATAAAAGCAATAAAATTTAAAAAAAAAATCCCTGTAACAGCCATTTTACCTATCATCTATGGTGTTTTTGCACTACAGTGGCAGAGGCACTGTGGCAGCCACCTCTGATGGTAGATGCTTGAGGACTGGTGAGCACGACAGGGAAAATCCATGACGGGTAAAGCAAGGGCAGGACTTCATTGAGGGTGCAGCATTGGGCTACCTTGCCTTTACCCTTACCAGTTAAGAAGGACTGAGGGTTGAAGAAGCCAGAGAGCCACACTACTGCTGGAAGAGCAAGGTCTTGTGTCCAAGTATCGAGTTCTCGGCATCGCAGGAGGAGGTCGTTAAACCTGATTGATGGAAGGGAGGAAGAAAGAATGTTTAATAAAATACTGCCTTCCAGTGGGATTCTGGGGCAAGGGTGGTAGAGGCGTACACATCTGAGGAAGCCAGTAAAATCCTTAATGATTTGTAGGGCATTGCCCTTTGAAAGGGTCAG